TAGCATGTCCGTCTGTCCGTCTGTCCGTCTGTCCGTCTGTCCGTCTGTCCGTCTGTCCGTCTGTCCGTCTGTCACAGCCGATTTACTCGGAAACTATAAGTACTACAGTGATGAAATTTGATGGGAATATGTGTTGTATGAACCGCTACAAAATTATGACACTAAATAGTAAAAAAAAGAATTGGGGGTGGGGCCCCCCATACATGTAACTGAGGGATGAAAATTTTTTTTCGATGTACATACCCGTGTGGGGTATCAATTAGAGATGAAACGGATAGTTGTTTGGCCGGATACCGGATACCGGATATCCGGCCAGCTGCTAGGCCGGATAGCCGGATATCCGGCGGCCGGATAGTTGGCCCATTGTCTCGTTGCATGTCGTGACGAGTATAGTGCCGCACAGGTGCTTCGAACGCGATCAGTGGGTCTATTAGTAGAATAGACTAGTCACACTTTTGGAAAATCGAATCCGTCCGAATAGAATGTCAGATTTTGCCACTTGTCTAGGGGGCAGATGAATTCAATTTCGGCTGCAATCGTGAGTGTGTGATTGAATAGCGAAAATTTAACTATAGTGGTCATCACAAAAATCGGCCCACCTACGTTTTACAGGAAAACTCGTTTCTACTGACACAGTCATGGTGCCCCAACAATATTGGTGTTATTTGAAAGCCCAATAAATATCCTTAAAGAAAAACACATTTAATTTCATTAAACGATTAACATAAACGCGATATACAATAAATGTGACTTGAAAAAAGACCTCACTTTGGGCTCACCTCTGGGAGGATTACTAATGTTTGGCCAAAAAACGTTTCCCAAATTATCACATCGCAAACAACGTTTCGCAAATTTTCATTTGGCAAATTCTCATTTGGCAAAGCAACTTATTGCAAACTTTTAATTCGCAAATGTTGTTTTTGGCATATTATTGTTTAGCAAATTATTGTTTGGCAAAGTATGGTTTGCCAAATGTTTCATTAGGCAAAAATATTTCACGATAAACTATTTACAAAATAATTTGATTGGTGCAGAGAATGGATACAAATTAGCTTGTGGTTATTATTTTTTTTAGTGGGTAGTTAATATAAAATTTGTTCTACATTAATTTAATTTCCTTATTTCATTCTTTTTATCGAAATTTCTAAACGATTCATTAACAATAGAGGTGATTCTAGCGCTCGGCGGCCGCTGCCGCGGCACGCTTCGCTCGCCTTCGCGCATTAAGAAGGGTCACTGTTCTAACCTAACCTAACCTACTTTTTTCTGTAATACCTACTTTTTGCAACCATACTATTTAAGTACTACAGTGATGAAATTTGATGGGAATATGTGTTGTATGAACCGCTACAAAATTATGACACTAAATAGTAAAAAAAAGAATTGGGGGTGGGGCCCCCCATACATGTAACTGAGGGATGAAAATTTTTTTTCGATGTACATACCCGTGTGGGGTATCAATGGAAAGGTCTTTTAAAATGATATAAAGTTTTCTAAAAAACATTTTTCTTAAAGTGAACGGTTTTTGAGATATCAGCTCTCAAAGTCGTAAAAAGTATGTCCCCCCCCCTCTATTTTTATAACTACGGGGTATAAAATTCTAAAAAAAATAGAGGTGATGCATGCTAATTAACTCTTTCAACGATTTTTGGTTTGATCAAAGTATCTCTTATAGTTTTTGAGATAGGTTGATTAAATTGACATAATAAGTTTATTATATTTGCTGCTACGGAACCCTTTGTGCGCGAGCCCGACTCGCACTTGGCCGGTTTTTGTATGAAGAGTCAGTGAAAAGAAGAATAATTTGAATTTAATAACTTAGAATAGTTTAATCAAACTTATTTTATAACCCCCTTAACTTTTAGGTTTTTTGTTTAGTAAATAATTCTTAACTTAGTCGGCGATTCTCGAACCGGTTTTATCGAGAAATATTGGAAAAGCAAATGGCCCTATTTCCGAGTTTATTTGTCACACACCCACGCGAACTTCCGCTACGTGTTGATCGTGTCGCGAGTAAATCAGCGTGCAGCGCGCGCCAGGTGCGCGCAAGCACGTCACACGCGCATAAATCAACATGCGTTATAACTTCACGCTTGAATCTGCAAATTTGTGGAAATCTGACTTTTTAGAAAGAACGATTAATTTTTAATCTCGTTTTCCTACGAATTCACAGCCTTAACGGATTGATGTTGTATTTTGGTGTGCGTAAATGGCCCCTTCTTTGAAAGTAAAACACCTTATCACGATTTTTTTATATCACGTGTAGAGTTTTATTTACAAATCTCTAGCTACTATCTAAATACTTTGAAAAATTGTAATACTTCTTCTATGATGAAAATACTATACAATAGCATAATTTAAATACCTTCGAGAAATTGCTTGGTATTTATTAACTCAACTTTTACTTAATAATTTACTTAATGACTCTAGTAAAAAAATGTAACATAGTTTCTTCTGAAAAAATCGCGTTCTTTTTTCTCTATAATCCGTGGATTGCTAGTAAGATTAATTGGAAAGTGTATAGAATTAAATCTTCTTAAAATTTTATAAGCAGAGATTTTATTCGATTGATTCTCGATACCTAAAAGCTTTTTCCATTCGGTTGCGAAAGTTATCTGCCCAAAGTTCCCAAATCTGTAAGAAGAATCCCATCAAAAACAATACTTGTCAAAAAAACCAAGTCTCGCAACTCAGTTGTTCTACGGTAAAAAGTTGTGAGATCCATGTAATACCAAGTCCAGGCCAGGAAATCTTTAACGTTTTACATAAATTATTGACTTGGCCATCGCACTAAATAATTTAATTTACACGTGTTTTCATGCGATGGCCAAGTCAATATATTTATGTAAAACGTTAAAGATTTCCTGGCCTGGACTTGGTATTACATGGATCTCACAACTTTTTACCGTAGAACAACTGAGTTGCGAGACTTGGTTTTTTTGACAAGTATTGTTTTTGATGGGATCTCATTTCTTTTTGTATTTTGTAGACAGCAGTTATGTATCTAGAAAACTGGACCGAAATTGAAAAATTTTACTCGACTTGGCGGTTGCACTACCGTGCCCCCAAATATTTTAGTTTTTCTTTGATTCATACACCAAACACTACTTATGATCCAAATTTGAAGCTTCTAGGTCTGCTAGAAGTGCCTTAGAATTTTGATGATCGGTGAGTCAGTCAGTGAGTCAGTGAGTCAGTGAGTGACAAAATTAAGTAACTTTGACCCGTTATAATTCCTAAACTACTGGTTCAAATTGAATGAAATTTTAAATATACCGTGTCTTTACAATACCTGCATAGCTAATGAAAATTCAGCCTTCTAGTTTTATCCACAACGAAGTTACAGGCAGTCGAAAATGGCCTGAATTGCTTCGAGAAAAGGATGGTACGGCCGTGCCGCTTTTTTGCTCGACTTGGTGGGGGCACTGCCGTGCCCCCAAATTTCTCAAAAAGGCAAATTATGCATCGCCGAAGTTCAACTAACACGGGCCGGGCCGGTCTTAATAAAGTTCCCTTCAGATCGTCAGGTTCGATTCGCAATAATTTATTCAGTTTCGTGAATTTAACGGTAGTTAGGCAGCGGCCGGACCGCGGTAAATAGGACGCGAGAAACAGTGCAACAATGGAGCATTAATTGTTGTTGACTAAACAGCAGATACGTTTGTTATGATATGGAAATGATTCTTGCATTCTTGTTCCTTATAACTAGTTATGATCGACAATAAAATTAACAATTTAATTAATAGCATAAGTTTTTAGAGAGCAACGTTTAACGTAATCAGAGTTAAACAGTAGATAACAGAGTTATGAAAACTAAACACATAACAGGTTAACCTTAAAGTAATAAGCACGGTTACTTTTGTTTTACTGATAATAAGTTTGGAGAACTGAGCGTGTGCTATCTAATAATATCACCGGATTGTGCAATGACTGACAGCCTGGGTTCGGCCTGCAAATGGCAGGTATTTAAGGCCGTGTCTACATGATCTATTTAAGCGACGACTAATATGGGCCTGCGTGTCGCTGCTTAAGGCGCGACCACACACGCTCGGGTGTGCGCCCGCGACGGTGCTGCCTCGTGGCATTCGCGTGACATCATTATTATTAGCTAAAATAGGGTCGACACATAAGAACGAGAACCTATTAATGAGGGCCTTAAGTATATCAAATTTTTAAAAGTAAAAAAACTACGTAAAATGTAACTGCGTTGCTTGTTGGTCCGGCGACATAAAGGTACGCAAGCACCCAGGGGTTCGACACTAACACATCACAAAAGAAAGCATGATGTATCTCATATTAATTTGTTACCAGCAAAGTAGCAAAAACCTGAGAGAAATAGAAAATGCGTATAGTTTGTGTAGCTATTCAAACAAAATAAAGTTCTCACAAAGATCCTAGCTAGCAAGCTAAACTCGTAGAAATCCTACTGATTTTGTATAACTTATGACCTTATGAATAATCAGCACTCGTATTGTCCCTCTTGGAGCATAGCCCAGATAATTCTTCTTTTAATTTAAATTTTATTAATGTGTCTCCTCTGTGCCTATTTCATTCGGGGTCAGTGCTAAGTGTAAATACCTAATTTATCTTCCATTCATTCGCTAGTTATCTTCAAATTCGTCAGTTTTAAGCCAGATTATCCAGCGCACATACACCCTTTTACTATCTCATAACCTTTGGGATGACTTTTTTCGTCGTCCCGAGCTACTTATCTAGCTCCACACACGAGTTAATTGGATCATCTTGGTGCATATTCTTTTCGCATGATGGTATCATACTCTTCTATGCATCTTCTTTACGGCATTCAAATCATGAAACACCAAACTTTCTTATTGCCCTTCGACTTTCTTATTTGCTGTCCCAATTAAAATCAGTAAAACATCAAAGTGTCATCCCTACATAAGGCCGCTGCGCCGGCGCAGGGCTCGCTCGCCCGTCAGACCGGTCCGCCCCGCCGCCCGCGCCGCGCCAAAACCGCTCGCAAAAACCGCTGGCGTCTCGCCGCGAACGCGCGTTTGTTTTGATGTGCAGTGCGGTGGAGTGCCAGTGAGTGAGTGAGGCGATGTCGCGGGTGCCGGCGACATGCTGGCCGTTCGCCCTGCCAAGGTATTTCAAGAAAACCAGGCTATACCACGTCACAAAGTCTTTAAGACCAGCGCTAATGTCAAAATAATTGCCGAAGGCATCTGACATGCTTACTGTACTTCGAAGCACGGAATCTTCTTATCGGACGATCAGGTTGATACAAGCATGCAATTTACTAACCGTATTGGGTACCAACGTAAAGTACAATCTACTAATTTGCAAGTATGGTGGTTCTGGTAATTAACCCCTGAGAGAGATCTGAAAGATCTCTTTGTCGTCTCTTATAGTCAAAGATGTCTTAACATACGTAAGAAGGAAAAAGGGTAGGTAGCCCTTCCAATTTCCACTCTGATTTGCCTTGTTATTTTGTTCAACTTCTCCGCCAATCTGACTTCGTGGCATGTCATTTGGTTTCCTCGCCGCCATGTAACAAGAAAGTAATATCCCAGAAAATAAACAGACTGTTCCCATCCCAACGTCCTTAAGATTCAATGGGGTGTCACAAAAGGTCGTAGAGTTGCAAGGTTCGATTCCCGCTGAATGGATTATAAACAAAGCGCTGAGGACGACTCATTGTCTCAGACAATGGCTGTTTTGTTTCTGAGCGTTTGGCGTACAATGTTTACTCGATCATAAGTAATGTCGGAGTTTTATCACCGTTAGCGAGAAAAGACAAACATAACAGATTTGTATTAGGAAGATGATAAACTGAAAATTTATTGCCTTCTTCTATCACATAACTTAGGTAACCTTTTTTAAACGATTTGTGACTATGAAAGCATCATTAACACTGTGAAATATTACTTAACTAGCTTTCCGCCCGCGGCTTCGCCCGCGTGGAATTTTGTCTGTCACAGAAAAACTTTATCGCGCGCGTCCCTGTTTCAAAAACCGGGATAAAAACTATCCTATGTTCTTTCCCGGGACTCAAACTATCTCTATGCCAAATTTCATCAAAATCGGTTGCGAGGTTTAAGCGGGAAAGCGTAACAGACAGACAGACAGAGTTACTTTCGCATTTATAATATTATAAGTTGGGATTGTTTTAAACTGGACTCACTCAAAAATATTCTCACTCACTAAGTAATTCAAACTTCAATCGCTCAAATGTAGTCCTTAAAATGTAAAAAAATAAGGAGCTGTCTTTCTTTCTTGATAAAAAAATCAATACTGTTGTGCTATTACATATTTCAGTCCTATCTTACTAATATTATAAACGCGAAAGTTTGTATGGATGTCTGGATGTCAACATGTTTGTTATTCTTTCACGCAAAAACTACTGAATGGATTTTGATGAAACTTTACAGTATTATTGTTTATAACCCAGAATAACATATAGGCTATAACTTATGACGATCTGTGACAAAATAATATTCACGCGGGTGAAGCCGCGGGCAAAAGCTAGTTATGAATAAATCTGACAGTAATAATCCTATCCAAATATACCTTACTTTGAGTGATGTAATAAACTACTTTGTCTCAGCCGTTGTCGTTTATTATAACGGCAGAGACCAAAATAAAATATGAGCTGTAGTTGCAGATATTGTTTTTTCCTTTTGTGGGCTGATGTCATCGATCACATTTAAATACCTACTAATTTTGCATACGAGGTCTACGGCCTAACCATTCAGTCAACCGGATTCACATTATAATACGAGGCGTATTGAATATATGGCAATATTCGAATTGAAAAAACTTTTGAATACTAAAGATATTTGAGATGACCCCTTTTTAGGATAGATACACCTACATAATGTATTTTACATACGAAATAATAGGATCAATGTCTACTCATCTCAAAAAGATAGTTTCGCGTGACTATCGTAAGTAGTTTTTTTAATGTCTGAATGTATCTATCGTGTAGTATATTCATATCATTATTTAATCTATTTATATAAAAGAAAGTCGTGTTAGTTACTTCGCTTATAACTCAAGAACGGCTGAACCGATTTAGCTGAAAATTGTCAGGGAGGTAGTTTAGAGCCAGGAGAAGGACATAGGATACTTTTTATCCCGTTCGAAATTTTAAAAAAAGTCTGCTTATTTATTGCCATTAAGGCGGAACAAAGTTCGCCGGGTCAGCTAGTCTATATATATAAAAGGGGTTACCTACGTGAGTGCGACAAACGTTACATCGAATTTTGTTTCTTCGAAAACCTTTCTGCGAAGTTACTATACTGCGACGCCTTGTTATATCGATGCCTTGTTACTGCGATGTTACGTTACATTGAAAAACTTTACTGCGAACGATTTTACAGTCATATTTTATAATTTATTTATATTTATGTTTCTATTATTATGTTATTGAATCAAAGATGTAACTGTTAAATATATGTAATAAGTAAATAAAATGTAATGTATTTATAATCTTATTTCATCTATAATTTTGTACCGCCCGTTTTTGTTCTATGTATGTATGTATGTAATTTCATTTTTTTATCTATCTGCTAAGGCAAATAAAGAAGGCTTCGCAGTAAAATCGTTCGCAGTAAAGTTTTTCGATGTAACGTAACATCGCAGTAACAAGGCATCGATATAACAAGGCGTCGCAGTATAATAACTTCGCAGAAAGGTTTTCGAAGAAACAAAATTCGATGTAACGTTTGTCGCACTCACGTAGGTAACCCATATAAAAGAAAGTCGTGTTAGTTACTTCGCTTATAACTCAAGAACGGCTGAACCGATTTAGCTGAAAATTGTCAGGGAGGTAGTTTAGAGCCAGGAGAAGGACATAGAATACTTTTTATCCCGTTCGAAATTAAAAAAAAAAGTCTGCTTATTTATTGCCATTAAGGCGGAACAAAGTTCGCCGGGTCAGCTAGTTTACAAATAAAAAGATCCTTCCACAGAAGAGTTAATAGCACACAAGGGTCAAGAAAACAGACCTTACTTTCATCAGTGAACTTAAACTTGGATTGGCGGAGACGGGCCGCAACCGCACGCCTAACTTTCGCCGGCGGTGCTTCTGTATAATACGAGTACATAAATAATAATTTACTGGGCTTTTTCATCATGTTCAACATTTATTTACTCTTAATGATCCGATTTTATGAGCTTATGAACAACAGGGATACGAGTAACCATTTTTACACTCATACCCACCTGCCTATAGCACCTACTCTATTTTTATAGAATAACAACAAACATTCCATGTTCTATTTTGGTAACATTACGAGGAATCCATTGTGTCACCAACGGAATCTACTTTTCATTATCGTAGAACTGGAATTATAAAGATGGAGCCGTTATTTGGAAAGCTAATTTTAGATCTAGAAACACGTTAATTATATCAGGCTAAATATCAAAATGTAATCCGTAAGCTGTATATTATTTGAAATTTTGTTAATGTATTTGAAACAAGTTAAAGAAAACTCCATCCAGAACGTAATTAGATCCATTTTGTTATCAAAGAAGAATACATATTATTATGTTGTTAGATTTATGTACTTGCTTCGTTCTAATTTGCGTTTATTTTTGAGGAGAAATATGTATTACCAGGCCTGATTGATTGACATCCCCAGCTTATAGTGATTAACCTCAGTGATTGGAAATTATCAGGACATATATTTTGTGTATGTTACGGAATCTGTCTCTATTGGTTCAGAAATTCATTTTTGACACAGGCAGGACCAAGCACCTCTTGACATGTTGGGACTTTTGCCCATGTGAGGGTGGATTTAAAATATCGCTATAAATTATAGCCCATATACCTACTGTAACTTTCATTTAAATCCGTAGAGTAGTTTTGCGTTAAGGAGTAACAACAATCCATTCACGCAGAAACTGTCACATTCACAAATATTATCAGAAATAAATAAATTATAGTCCGATTTTTAATTCGACGGAATTCTGACAGCTGTCATTTTTTGACAATTCAGATGTAATAAGCCTTTTTTGCTTTGAATTATTATTAAATAATACGAAATGAAATTTCATCAAGTACAACTTACAAGAATGAACTATTGTTTGTAGTGTCAATTCAATGTACACTAATTATTATGTACATTTTAGAGTTTAAATAGAAAAAAACGTGTTTTTAACACAGTAAAGCAACATATTATCATTTACGAAAATATGTATTGATCATCAATCATCATTATCGTCGTCATAATCAACTTGGATTATAAAATTGGCATCTTGTTAAATTGGTTATTTTATGAACCTAAGATTTTATTAACAAAAGGATTTTCATAAAAAAGGTTTGTAACCCATGGATTATTGGCCAGGGAGTCCAGTAATAGAAAAATAATTTCCCAATCTTTTTTGTAACTTCAAAAATATGATAATAAAAATTCAAATAACCATTTTGAAATGATCAGTACATTTTTAAGCCTTAGTTTTTCAAGTGAAACCTTAAATTCAAGAAAGGATTATTTTTTAATTTGTGAAAATGCTCTCCATTCATAATGGGAATGTTTCAATGTTGACAACACTTCTGAAATGTCAAAATTCCGTCGAATTAAAAATCAGAGTTTAGTAGGATTAAGACGCAGAAGCCTGACAAGAAATCCTCGCGTCGCTTATGGCTAAATATGCAAGATATCCAAATAATAGTTTATATTAACAGATAAAACCGTAATTTATATGCGATTATCGACGGATTAAGACAGCCCGCGGTCAAGTGTGCGCTCATTATGTCGCAAGGACAGCCGAGGCTGCGCGGGCGCCGGTCAACGACCGGGCTCCTGTGGTTTCGGAAACAATATTGCGAATACATTATGTTATGTTACTTATCAACGTCAAAATTTTACGAGGACCTGTTTAACTGTTCATAAAATATTGATATTGATACTGCAGAACAATGTTTTCTCTTTATGTATCATCATTTCAGTCATAATTATCCACTGCTCAACCTCTAATGAACAGACACAATCACACACAGATAGATCTGTGAAACTATTCATATTTTAGTCCCCTTTTAATGGGTTCGTTTTTTACCTAAATTATGCGTCTTCAATATTTAATAACTTGATTTGTTTTTAATCTTTACATTTTGGCCGAACTGAACTGAAATGCCTTGA